CTTCAAGTTTATTTTAGTAAGTATACTTAAGTAATGTTCAAGTATATTTTTAAGTATACTTTATGTAGCAAGTATACACATATCAGTGTACTAGTAGTATACTTGTAAGTGTACTATTTCAATACTCCTTGGGACTAAATTGGCCCACTTTCTAGTATATAAAAGTATACTTTTAAGTATAACAGTAGTAAACTTTAAGTACACAACTAGTTTACATCAACAGTTTTAGCTTGTACTGCAACTATACTAAAAGTGAACTTATATGCTGATAGTTTACTAATTAAATACTTGTAGTAGCATTTTTAGTCTCAGTAAACTACTAGTTTAGTCGTTTTATACTGCAAGTATACTCGTAAGTTTTCTTTAAGTGAACTTTACGTCATACTTTAAGTATACTACTACGTCCCTATTTAGATATTAATTTGTATATATTTTGTTACATGAATATCTGAACATACAAAACATCAAAAGAACAGGGTATCTGCTTGTAAACAAAAACATTTTATTCCAGCTTCATGCATTCTTTTTTTAAACACTTGAATGTGGATAAGTTTCATAAATAATAATAAAAAAAAGAAATAAACAACATTTTGAACAAAAAGCTGAAAAAAGGCTATGAATTAGATTCAGAACGATAATCAAAATTCATTATTACCTCTTCATTGGTCGACATTACATCGACGTTGCACAGTTTTGATGCTGTTTTATGTCTGATGATGGTGTTAGAATACACGTGGAAGCATCTGTTGTTTCGGTTTCTTCTTCACTTGTGTTTTTTGGAAATTCTGCACAGAAGATGTGTACTAGCGCCAGCTACAGTTTAACAATGAAAACACGGATTCTAGGAACACAAGTATAGCTCAAATATATTTAGACTTTTGCTAAGTATAAGTCAAGTATACTTAAATGTAATTTTAAGTATATTTCTGAGAAGTACATAAAGCCCATTTCTGAGAAGTACATAAAAGGTAGACTAAAACTATACTTTCCTATTTTTTAGTTTAAAAGAAGTATACTAATAGCACACTTGAATAAACTTTTTTTTCGTAAGGGTCAGACAAAAATGAACATTAGCTGGAAATGTGCTCATCCTCAGATGATCTGAGATTAGGATGAGTTTGTTTCTTCATCAGGTTTGGAGAAATGTAGCACTGCATCAGTGTCTCAGCAATGGATGCTCTGCAGTGAATGGGTGCCGTCAGAATGAGAGTCCAAACAGCTGATAAAAACATCTCAATAATCCACAAAAATAATGGCAAAGAAATGACAAGTAGAACTAAATGAACAATTTTGAAGTTGAAATAGTAAAATAATATTTTAGTAAAAAAAAAAAATTACTGTCAAAAAAATCTGCCCCACTGGGTTTGTTTTGTGATGATGGTTTATGGTTGTTCCGTGTTGGCTGTACTTTTCTTCTGGTTCCACAGGAAGACCTGTGCCGTTCTGCTGAAGTTAGTTTCACAAACCACACCGAGTTTCTCATTTTCCCAACCACACAGTACAATAGGTCTGCTCTGCCAACTCTTCTTCTCACATCATTCAAGGCCTTTGTTTCTGGAATAAAACAACTCACTTCATTATCTTGTATTGCTGGTGTTGTGAGGAATTGTGGAGCTCTGTGTAGCAGAAAAAAGAGATGGAGAAAGAGCAAACACTTTGAGGTAACTGAGGTGTCTACATTCTGAGTTCTGATAAAGTGGAAAAGTGAACAGAAAATGTGAACAAAGTGTAAGAATAATGTACAAATTATATATTGCATAATCGTTGACATCATCAGAAGCACTGAGAATCAATGACAGCAGATGTTAAACATAGATGAACTTCATCAGATTTTCTCTCAAACTCCGTCTGAGCTAATCGTGTCTCATTACGACAGCAGACATCAATCAGTGCGTATATGAGTCATATTTCATATGCATTGGCATGTCCACTTTACCGTATTTGTCTCTGAGATGAGAATATAGGAGTGCCATACACACTCACACACACACACACACACACACACACACACACACACACACACACACACACACACACACACACACACACTCACACACACACACACACACACACACACACTTTGAGAGATTTGAGAGAAAATCTGATGAAGTTCATCTATGTTTAGCATCTGCTCTCATTGATTCTCAGTGCTTCTGATGACGTCAAAGACCTTCAACCTCAGATCAGACCCACAGCAAAGAAATCCAATAAACCAATCCAATCATTTATGCAATATTCTTACACTTTGTTCACATTTTCTGTTCATTTTCCACTTTATCAGAACTCAGAATGTAGACACCTCAGTTACCTCAAAGTTTTTTCTTCATCTCTTTTTTCTGCTACACAGAGCTCCACAATTCCTCACAACACCAGCAATACAAGATAATGAAGTTGGTTGTTTTATTCCAGAAACATAGGCCTTGAATGATGTGAGAAGAAGAGTTGGCACGACTCTTATGAATGTGATATTTATTGTGTTTTCTGTCAGTTTGCGTAGGTTTGCAGAAATTCCACACTTATGCTGTCTCTGAAACAATAACACAAGAGCCGTCACTGAGGCTGTAATCTGGAAAAATCAACCTGTGCACATCATTTATCTCCAAAGAGTGCGTGTTTTTGACCCTGTGGTTTTCCATGAAGTCTTATAAGGGTTTGCCAAACTGCCTTCATTCTTCTCTGACGTCATTCTCATAACTTTCTATTTCTTGTAAATCCCAAAGGCACCGTCATCCTGTAATAATGTACCAGCTTCACACTGCATTCAGCTTCTCCTAATGCGGCTGTTTTACTGTTATGGAAGCACTGAACTTTTTTTGTGTGTGTGTGTGGTAGTGATGCTGAATTAATTTTATTTGTTTATTTCCAAAAATCCGAGATCGCTTCTCTTTTGCAGTGTTTTACAGTTTTTTATTTTTTTATTTTTTTATTTCACACACAAATCAAAGAATTGCACACACAAAATTCAAAACGCCTCACAGCTCTTGCAAAATGAAGCACTGCGTGCAAAATATCACAAACACATCTCAAACGCAAACATTTGTCTTATGTTGCAAACACCTTTGCCATAATCTTATATGCACAGTTATTCAAAACCTAAAGCTCTTCTTTCATGAGCTCCTGTGTACATTTCTGTTCAAGATTGAATATAATTGTCAGAGAGATGTTGAGAAATTCATGGCAACCACGAAAGCAAGATTGAAAGAAAAGAAACACATCAAGCATGTGTAGTTGTGTAGATGTGTGTTTATAGGCCTATTCTTCTAATGTGAGGAGTTAGTGTGAGGCACTGATGAATTAGTGAGCATTTTGATTGGTTGTGTTTAAAAAAGGAAATCAAGATATTTCCTGTCAGATTTTTGTGTTACATTTTATGAAATTGAAAGCTGAGTCAAAGGCAGAAAATTAGTGTGTGGTTTTGCAGATTTGGTTTTTAAGAATTTTTTTTTTTCATCTAGTTGTCACGGCAACATTTCTCATTTTCATTTAGTTTAACTTGAAGTACTAAAATAATTTAAAATAAATAACACACACACACACACACACACACACACACACACTCACTCACACACACACACGGCTGTGGCTGTGCATGCAGGACTCACATGCGGAGGACAACCTGCTGTAGCTTTCAGTGAGTAAACAGTATTTAATCAGGTTTTTATTGTTGACATGAAACATGATGTGCTCACAAGTAGCTGATATTTCCTTCTCGTGGTGTTACTTTAGATAGGACTTTATCTCTTTGGCAGCAGAGTTAATGTGTGACCCGCTCTTCTGACCCAGTTGTGAAATAGACTGGCCTTGAAGGACCTTCTGGGAGGGTTTTGTGAGAAAGCAGCTTATCTCAGCTCAGATGCAGGTATAAAACACAGCGTTCAGCTCGAGAGTCAGTGTGGATTTACATGAACCTGCGTCTTCATCATCATCATCATCATCTTCAGTCTGAGCTCGTCTGATCAACATGGGTGTCGCGTACAGCGTGGGAGAGTAAGTAACTCTTCGTCAGAGACAATCACTGATCATGCATAATAAAGCTTGTTAATCAGCATCAATGATTCCACGTAAATCCATTAACAGCCACTGAATCTCTTCATTGCACTAAAGGGTCTTTATAGTGGAATAAGTGTAATGCTTATCAAACGAATAAAAAATGATTCTTTTAAGAACTGATCACTGAAAGCTTCTTTGGGGAAGTTCTGTATTCATTTTATTTCTTTGTTTCCAAAGATTCTGCGTGAAAGTGCTCAAGTTTTGTCAGAAGTTGAGTTAAATTCGAGACAGGGTTATTAAATTTAACTAAAACTAATAAAGAATTGTGTTACTTGAAATAAAATATAACGGAGATAAAATAAGATATTAAAAAAAACTTTATTGTGGTTTACTTTAACTTGAAGTACTATAAAATAACTAAAACGAAATAAACTCAAATATAATAATAATGTAATGAATAATTATTATTAACAAATATTTTTATATAAATTATTATTAAATAAAAAAATTCATAACTAAAACTGAAAAGAATAAAAACGATATACACGTATTAAAAAAAAGACTAATAAGAATACAAATTTGCCAAAACTAGAAATAAAACAAAAACCTTTGTTATTATTACAACTAGTGATATTGTATCAAATATTAATACAAACCATGACAGTATCTCAATGATCACTGGTTGTCAGAATCGTTCTCTACTGTTAGGGTTAGTCTTTTTCCATTCATTTTTTCCAATCAAAAAACAAACAAACACAAATGCACAGAAAATGCATGGTATTCTGTGAGCGACCGCATTAGTGAAAGTATTTTCCAGTGGGTGGAGGTCAAAAACTCTCCTGCGAGCAGTGACACACTTCCATCAGCCCATATTTGGCAGATCTTCCTCTTCTGTCTCACTTTCTCTAAAACGAAAGTAGAGTTGAAATGTGAGATGGGGGCAAAGCCATTGGTGGAGAGATGAACCAGTGAGGAGGAGAAACACTGTATAAACTCACTGTTCACGCCGCTGTCAAACAGATTCAGAAAGTTCAGCAGATCAGAGACAATCAGTCAACATGAGGCCAGTGCAGCAGAGCATTAAGATCTTATACTACGCCAATAAATCCGAGGAGCCGTTTGTGGAGGTGAGCTTTGAAAGAATGAGTGTTTTATGACACAGTGTAAGCTCAATCCCTGTGGGATTCATTGGGAAACGCACATGTGCCGCTCTGATAGAAGAGAAAGAGAAACTAAAGGAACATGCATGCGTTTTAGGTTTTAACTCACGTTGCTCCTCTGTTTGCCTTCAGATCGTCACTGTGAAGCAGCAGAACAAGCGGCGTCCGAGCGTCTGCAGCTCCGCAGACTCTGAATCTGATGACCTGCTGCCCGTGTTAATAGACCACAGTCAGATTCTGAACGAGCATCACCTCGAACAAGTAAGTGCGCTTTTATGAGATGATTCATTGAAATATGCATTTAGATTAAATGAATGTGTGTTGCGTTAGATGTGTATATTGATTGATAATGTGCATATGTGATGAATGTTCACAGCTGATGAAATAATTCATTGAAATATGTGTCCCTGGAGCACAAAAGCAGTGTTAAGTCGCTGGGGGATATTTGTAGCAATAGCCAACAATACATTGTATGCCATTTTTAATAATTTTTTTATGCCAAAAATCATTAGGATATTAAGTAAAGATTGTGTTCCGTGAAGATATTTTGTAAATATCCTACTGTAAATATATCAAAACTTAATTTTTGATTAGTAATATGCATTGCTAAGAACTTCATTTGGACAACTTTAAAGATGATTTTCTCAATATTTAGATTTTTTTTGCACCCTCAGATTCCAGATTTTCAAATATTGTCCTCTCCTAACAAACCATACATCAATGGAAAGCTTATTTATTCAGCTTTCAGATGATGCATAAATCTCAATTTCAATAAATTGACCCTCATGATTTGTGCTCCAGGGTCACATATATGCATTGCATGCACTGCTGAAGGTGTGTGATGCACTGATGGAGTGACTGATGTGTGTTCACAGCTGATGAATCACATCCCGGTGCGGACTCAGGGTTACTCTTGGAAGCTGGTGTACAGCACAGCGCAGCACGGCACCAGCCTGACCACTCTATACCGTCAGATGAGAGAGCTCGACAGACCCGTCCTGATGGTCATCAAAGACACGGACAACCAGGTACAGCCAAGAGATGCATTTACATTCATGCATTTAGAGTGCAATGCAATGGCAGGATTATTAGACGACAGGTGCACATGTGTTATTCATCTAACATGCAGCATCAGTCAAAATGTGAATATGTGCATTTATATAAATTCACTTCAACTGTGTTTAAACTCTGTGTGAATTATTTCCCCAAAAACAGTATTTCACCTAGTATTAAGCAATTTTTTTTAAAGTCTATTTACAGTATTTAATATATGCTAAACAAAATATATCTTATTTAATCATTGCATTCATGCATTTGGCAGATGATTGTATCCAAAGTGACTTGCATTGCATTAAAAGTATATATTTGATCAGTTCATGCATGCAAGGGTTAATATACTTAAATAAAATTAAACCATTATAGAATTGCATTACTTAAAATGAAATAAATTATAAAAATAAAATATAAATAAGTATATATTAATACAATAAATATGAATAATGAATAAAATATTTTAAAATCATTGAATTTTTGTCTTTTTGTTTACTTTAAATGAATTGTCTCACGTTGTTTAGTTTAACTTCATGTGCTAAAATAATTAAAAGTAAAACTGAAATCAAATTAATAAAACCTACTGTTTAGAGACTATAGAATGAATAAAAATTGTAAATTAAAATGTCATTAAAATTTTTATATAATTCAAATGAAAATAGAAAGTTTTTTTAACTAATTAATTAATGAAAAAAATTAATAATAAAAATTATAAAATCTCAAATATACTAAAATATCACTGGTTGTTAGATCCATTCTTTATTGCTTGAGTGCTTTTAAATTTTTTTACAATCAATAAACAAACTGACTGTGTTGTGCAAGCAGACAAAGCCTAGTGTAAGTGACAAGTGATCGAGCTGACATATTGATCTGATAAAACAATCTGTTGCTCTGAATCCTCAGGTTTTTGGAGCGTTCTCCTCCGACCCGTTCAAAGTCAGCAGCTACTGCTACGGGACGGGAGAGACGTTCCTCTACAGCTTCAGTCCGGAGTTTCAGGTAACTGCTCTGCTGAATTACTGATCATCCGACCGAGCGCTTGTACGGTTCTGGTTCTGGTTCTGAGCCTGGTTCTGGTTCTGGTTCTAGTTCTAGTTCTGGTTCTGGTTCTGGTTCTGGTTCTGAGTCTGGTTCTAGTTCTGGTTCAGGTTCTGGTTCTGAGTCTGGTTCTAGTTCTGGTTCTGAGTCTGGTTCTAGTTCTAGTTCTGGTTCTGGTTCTGGTTCTGGTTCTGGTTCTGAGTCTAGTTCTGGTTCTGGTTCTGAGTCTGGTTCTGGTTCTGGTTCTGGTTCTGAGTCTAGTTCTGGGTCTGAGTCTGGTTCTG